GAGGCAACGAATCCTATTCGTCGATGGTAAGGTCGACAGTCAGCTGATAAGTAATTTATTCTGGGCTTGTGAACATCTTTAAAGTGTCCTCGTGAATTTTTCATTTTAAAAGAGGTGCAAATTTATCACAAGGTAGTTCAAACTCTATGATCAAGTCTCCTCTGGTTCTTTTTTGTGATATTTGAGATAGGTTTAGTTAGGCAAATCGAGCATCGCAAAAAAGCTTTGCCATCCTGAGATGCGGTTCTCTGAATCTTTTCCAACAGCTGTCTGTCTCTTTCTATACGAGGGCTGGTCACTTATATGCGATCCTCGAATTTAGGATGCAGGAATACTGTGTACAAATTCAAAACGTTTTTAGCACTGATATTGCTAAGGGCTCAAGGTATCGACCAGTGGGTTCTTAAAACTTTGGCAGCTATCTCATGGCAGTGGACAGTAGTTTTCAATTATTGACTAACAATGAGTCCTGGGACATTGTGTGCCTGGACAACAGATAGCTCAATGTTATTCACCGTGTATTTATTTCCACCTTGTGACTAATATCCATCATAATGCACTTGGGAGCATTTATCGGAGACTGTTAAACTTCAGATCGTTCAGATAACTTCTCTGAATCATTTTCAAGGTCGAGACTATAGTCTCTACTTTTTATCGTTCTTGAATTCTCGACATCGCCAACATATAATAAAACGGATGATTATAGGAAACTAGGGTGGTCATTTACATACAAGAGAAGCAACATTGGCCCCGAAACTGTACCTTGAGCCACTGTGTTAGACAACATTGATTTCACTCACACTCTTTGTTGGCGTCCAACTAAGAAGCCTTTTGTTCACATTATTGAATTATTTTCCATCCTAATATTACTTAACTTATATAATAGCCGGTTGAGATGAACTTTGTCAACAGCTTTATTGAATACAATTTAGGCTACATCTACAGGTAACTTTTGGTCCTCAAGACAGCACCAACTTTCGTGAAGTACTAAGATGTTGGTAAGACAGGAGTGACCTGTTCTAAAGCCATGCTGCTTTTCAGAAAGAATCCGGTTTTTGTTGAGATACTTAAACTACTTCACCTGAAAAATATTTTCGAAAATTTTATTAACCGCGCCAGTTAGGCATGCGGGTTGATAGTTCTCAGGTTTATGTCTCGTACCTATTTTGAAGACAGGAGTAACTAGAGCGTTTTTCCAGTCTTTTGGTAATCGACCCTGGGTTTCAAACAGATTGAAACACATACTTCGTGGGTTTGCAACAAATTTAGCTGGTTTCTTTAATAACCCATGATGCATTTCATTGAGTCCCGTGGATTTGCTTATATCAAGCTTATTTAGCGGACCATAGATATTGAGTTCTTTAATGATCACAGTGTCCAGTGTATGTGTATGGCTTGTACAAACTGAAGGGAGGGGTGTCTCCACGGTATATACACTGCTGAGTACCTGAGCTATAGCATACTCGACCTCCACTAATGATGAAGTACTACTGTCTCTCCATAATGCTTGAATATTTTCTCTTCTCATAGTCCATTGGTTTACGTGAAGATATAAACGTACAACCTTCTAGACTTGCAGAGGGTTGAGGCACAAATATTTCGAGATTCTCGATATTTAGACATATATAGACATAAATCTCTTCCACATTCTTTCCCTCTTATGGAGAAAAGCGCGAACATCCCTACTGAACCACTCTGGGAAATTTCACGGACACCTTAGTGTAGTCCGAAGAACGTGAGTTGCAGTGACTTTTAGGTAAAAACTTCCAAATACATCGCAAAAGGCTTATATTAGGAACTCTGACTCTATTGTCTAATTTACTGCAGATGCTGAGTATATAATGTCTTCCATATTTGCTCTCCAGACGTTAGGTCTGAGCTAGGTTGACGCATGATCGTTTTTGACAACTATACGGAAATCAAAGATTATAGCTGCATGGTCACTTTCACATAAGCGTGGGAAATAATCGACGTTTGTGACGTCACCCTCATAATGGGTCAGTGTGAGATCCACTGAGGGTAATTCGTATTCCAGATTGTACCTAGTTCGTTATTTTGCATGTTGCATTAGGGCACATGTGATAAGTGTGTCAACTAGTTTTTGCTCAAAAGAATTTTCTGTCGATTCACTCTTCAGATTTTTCCAGTCCACCGTAGCTGCATTAAAGTTTTTGAAGACTAAACATCGACAACATGTTGATCAAGTGTTCAGATCTTCTAGTAAGATCTCATTTGTTTCACAGCTTGGACTACGGTAGACCAAACTAATCAGCAACTCTCGTCCTTTTTCAAGCGACAACTAATTCACATGTCCCAGCTTCATGGGATATGATATGAATAATGATAAACGTAGTATACCATAGTATATATATATATATATATATATATATATATATATATAGAGAGAGAGAGAGAGAGAGAGAATGTCAATGAATAGAGCTTCACCCCCTTTATGATTCTAGGTTTCATAGGCTCTTACTAACGTTAAATTGTCAAAATAAAGTTCCCCACCGTTTACAGACTGATTCAGTTAAGCTTCTGTTACAGCGACTACATCCGGCTTGGTAGAGTTTATCTATACACCTAGCTCCGATCTCTTGGTGACCAAGTTACGGGCACAAAGACCAGTTAAATGGCTCCATGCAGCACCCAGAGTGGCTTCGGAACCATTCTCTGTTGAAGCCTCACTGCTAGGCAACTTGCAATTTTGCGGTCTTGATAGCCAGCATCTAACCTTAGTTTTACTTCTTTTTCAGCTTCTCGTCTTTTTATACAGTCCGCGAGCCGCATGTCTTCACGGATGAAGTATCCTGATCCGTTTGCTTCATGTCCGTTTAATTCCTTTTCATTAGGAGATCTAAATACTATATTTGGCAGCTTGGTTTGATACTGTTTCAAATCCATCCGGTTACCTAGTCAGTAAACATTTAGCAAAGTGTCATCAGATATATACTGAGGCACTAAGTGGTCAAGTAGATCTTTTATCAGCCCAAAGTCTTCCTCAAAGTGAGCTCTCGGTTCTGAGCTTTCACTCTACTTGATTCTGTGGAAAAAAACTGACTGGTCACTACCAACAGTATTCAATTTCCCAGCTTCTGTTTAGGGGACTGGAAAAACCATCTAGTCGCTGACCAACTTTCTCGCTCTCACCGGTCTCGAAGGCCACGAAAAAATTTATAAGTAAATTGATCATCAAATACCTTAACTACTAATTAATTATCGCTAAACCACAACTCGGCCACCTATCTGGTAGATTATGTGACACAAGGCTTTTGACTGTCTGGAATGACTGGTTCACCTCACTGAAATACAAGCAATATGTGCATAATGGAATTCTTGATTGTTTCGATGAATTTAACTGGGGTAATCATTGTCTTCTGGCTTGGCAGTTGAATCCTATGAGTATGAGTGCGTGTCCGGTGACATGCCTCTGAGATTTCATGTCTGGGTGGTTGTGAGCTGTCAGAGTCTAAACGTCCATGTCAGACAGGCAAACAGTATCAAAGTGAAACCCTTAAACTATTCTTATTTTAAATATTCACTACTGACGCTTTCAACTCTCTAAACACTAATGCTCTTCTTAAGTCAGATAATCTCAATATATGGAGGGCATTAGTTGGTTCAGATAATATTTCGACTCTTCAGAAAGACCTGTAAAATATATACTACTAGAATGCTTGAGAAATACCCCTTTGAAATGTCAGAGAATGCAGGGTACTATTAGTGAACTATAGTAATACTGTATCCGAGACGTACGTCCTATGCGATCCTCATATCACACTTCAAAAAACTCAGATGAACGTAGGTACCACTCTCTGTGATACTCTGATCTTGTCTTCGCACTAGCATTTCTCAGGTAATGAAGCATACTCACTCTTACTGTTTTTTATGAGAGCACTTGTCTCCTGAACTTCTAAATGATTTGAAATTATTTTCGGTGTTTGTCCAAGGTTTCATCTCGAAAAATCTCATATATGATTTTCCTTTACCTTAAGTAGGATATTTCTCTCTTAAAAAGTTTTCAAAGGGGAACGAATGAAAAGGTACTTAGGCCGCGAAGTAAATTCCTCCCAGTTGGCTTGGAAGCTAACCTAAAGTCAGTACGTCGGGGGACAAATGGGGTGAATATGATGATGAGGTGCAAAACTGTTCATAATCCCCTCATCTGGACAAACCACTTATACATTTTTGTAATGTACCATACATGAGGGACATCCAATCAAGATACTGACTTTTCCCAAATCATTTCGCTACTTCAACTAAGATATGATCAGGGTACTCTACTCGACGTTTGTGAGGCTGAATTTGGAATATGGGATTCAAGAAGAGAGTCCTTGTCAAAAAAATGAAGCGAATATGCTGGGAAAATTAAACGGTGAGCAGTGAAAATGATGAAAGATCTCATTGACTTCTCTTATTACGACAAATTGAGACGCCTCAGTCTATTTCCTCTATCTTACCAGATGTTACGGAGCGATTTAGTACTGGGTTACCGTGTACTGGACGATAATCGTGATATTAGTATGTCTTATCTTTCCCTTTAATCTAAGACTTTTCATTTGAGTGAACATTTTAAGAATTTTCAAAAACCGAAATCAAATCACTCACGTCTGGAGTTCCGTTTATCGCACCTAGTAGTGATATACCTAAATTCCCTATCAGAATAGGTAATATCAACACCTTCTGTTGATACATTTGAGGCAGGATTGGATCTTCGCGTCAATAAAAATTACAACAAATAAGAGCACATTAGTCGCTAACCTTTACTCCTGAAGACTAGGTAAGTCGAGAAGTGTTTTATTTAACCAGACTAGTCGTTACGGTCTTATGGTACGGTTTATCCACTCGTAATTTGATGCGGTGAGGTAGTCCAGCGCCTTCATATAGGATATATCAGAAACAACTGATCAGGTCAGCATAATTTTCAAAACTTAAAGGACTATTTATTTGATGAGTTTATTTACCGCTTCAGTGTTATTGACTTTTGGATGTTTAACCTTGATTCAAATAAAAACAATTCAAAACACTAGCAACTGGGATCTAAACATGACTAGTTGGCGTAGTCTGATAGATGAAGCTTTATCAGACGAGGAGATCATTGATAAAATAAAGTCTTTCATTCATAGTGAGGACGCTGGTATGACTAAGTTAACAAAGTTTGAGCTACTGGAAATGCTAAGGTCTAAGGGTGTAATTGACATGCTGGTTTCTAAAATAAAGTCTAAAGAACAGTCCAAGATTTTCTCCAGAGGTCATGATAGTTTTGTGGGTACGTACGAAGGTTCTAAAACATGTGTGTCAATCAATACGAGTTCCACTGCAGTATTAGTAGTGGAGGTTCTTCAGGGGAGAGCGTTCACGAGTCACCTTCAGACATATGAAGACATGGAAATTGAAGAATCTAAGTGCTCCGACATCAGTTTGCAACTACATATCGCTTACAAGGACTGTAGATTTTCCAGCAAATTATTCCAGTGCACAACGGAGCCTATTATCAATCAGATCTTTTGTTTTGAGCTTATTTCTGGAAACCCTAGCAAGGGACGAGATGTAAGTATAAATAGAAAAAATCGGTTGTCCTGTTTTTAAGGCTAGTGCGGATAGTGTCGTTGGTTATTGGAGATCTCTGAGGTATATGTTTTACAAAGGCATATAGTTCATAGAATTTGAGAATTTGTTCCCGAAATATATTACACCATTTAAATATATTTGTGAGTGATATATTCACCCATCTATATCAGTTTTATGTATCAGCCGCTCAGATAGAATAGGCTCGTCTACTTAACAGTCTGCTTAACCTATAAATTAAACTCTCAAATACATATACAGTTAATAAAGACGTAAAAAAGAAAGGATTACATAAGTCGTGATGAAAAATGCCTTTAATTTCTCTTGGTTTGCTCTTAATGTATTCTTAGAAGAAGCTGTTACCATGTTTTGGGGCTAGGACCTCCATATATATACCATTATGTTTCAAAGTTAGTAGTCACCACTTTAGTGATTAATAAACCCTACAAAAAGAAATTATTAGTAGGCATTCATTGGTAATAATCGACTTTTTTGTTTTAAAATGCTGGTCTTTCTGACAGCTCTTTTTTTACTTCTAGATCATTCTTAACGTGACTGGCCTGGTATTCTCATGTTGTTTATTTTGACCATCACCGTCTTTAGTCTTCAGCGATAGGAGTAGCAGCTTAAGTGAATATTGTTATTACTCGAAATTTGCAGTACTATTAAGACTGAGTGTTAGCCGATAACATTTCCTGGTAAAGAATCCTAAAACCCCACCACTTGATAAGATAAATGGAACTCATAAGTTAGTAATTCGACTTCAGTGTTAAACTTGCTGGGGAAACCAGTTTTTGAGAAAAAATAGTTAAGACAGAGTAATACGAACATCACCGTTATCTTGTGTTAGTTGAATTTTTAGTACAGTCTTTGAAATAACTTAGCATAAATGTCGCACTCTCGTTATACATAAGGAGTACTTTAGTTAGATAAAGAGTGCTTTGGGGCTTTTAAATCTTGACGTAGTGTTAGGACAAGATATAAACTGTATTTTAGCAAATAGAAAACGGTCTCTGGTGTCTGTATGATAGGCGAATTCCGTTTATTTATTCGTAGATTGGAAGGGACTTTAGACGACTTTTAAATAATTGATTCTAGTGTTTCAGTTTATCACAGGAACCGTCAGTTCTGGTTTAGGTAACATTCGATTACTGGTTTGGATTACTGAGGCTATGAACTCTGTAGTCCCGTTTGATATTTTGTGGTTAAACTTCACTTTTATTTCTAAAGGCTTTCAGAAACCTACAGCAGCCTGTGTGCAAAATTACAAAGCGTATTGCGTGAGAAAATTTGATTGACATTACTTTTCAGTTGAAAAATTCAAAATTTAACATTTCTGGTTACCGGCCCAAAAGATTTAAGAAAATCAAGTAAAACTAGATATATTGCTAACCGGTAACATCAGTAGCGAAAGAAAGCTAAACTAATACAATCTAAATACTTATGGAATATATATATATATATATGAAATTCGATGTTTATAAATAATATACATGCTTTACTGTTTTCCTTAAGGTGACCCTTGAAAATTTGCTGTTCGATAAACCAGTTTCTTTTGTACAAATCGTAATCACATCAAACGTATTAACAACTGCAAAACGAGGTTTGATCTCATCAACCTACTTTGACTGGCGTCCATATTTCATGGGCAATTCTAAATGTAAAGAAGTAAACGTAAACCACTGGACTAATAACGTATCCATAGAACTACAAAGTACCGATCCAGACTGTAATGTAAGTCGGTAACTTTTCTCAACACTTTAAGTACTTATTAGATTGATAGCCTTTTTAAAAAACTAAACGTTCGTGGATTTGGCCTAAACGATTGAACATTTTAAATGAAAATAAAACAAATTACTGGGTAAAGTACTTCACCTATTTATTAGGGCCGGGATTTGTGTGATATATTTCAGGAATTATTTAACCGTAACATCGGGATTAGTAGGCCAGTAATTTCTGAGTTCTCACATTCCTGATGCAAAGTAAAAGTTTGAAAGTATCAAGATAGTTACAAGTGTACTGAACTTAGGTATTCAAATAAAGTTTATTCTAGTTAGTACCGCTCACCGTCTACATTATTTGATCCCTGCCATATTTTTCTCTGAGGGTATTCGGTGAAATCCAATGTATTTGCCTTTATCGATTCAGAATGTTCTCTAACCCTAATCTCATTTATCTTGAGTGTCACGATGGTTATAAATATAGGTATTCCTGATGAATTTAAGTCATGCAGAAAGTACAGAATGTTAATGTTCTTTTAAACCAGTTATATGGAACGAGAGATTAAGGTTTATTAATTAAGCTTTTGGTCTTTAATACCAGTTCATCACTACACAAATTGTCAAAGTTAACTGGCGAACTATGAACTGCTAGATTTTTGTTAATATGTTTAACCTATTTTTATCTAAATGAATTGACACTACAATCAATCTGTTAAAATATTTCAGGCATTTTAATTATGAAATTATGGTATTTATCAAAAAACTACTATAGGCTTTGTTTCTTTCAGTTTGTAATTTCATTAAGTTGCTGAGTTGACTAACCATTATCTGTGATGTACGATGAAGGGTTTGTGAGTCATACGAGTCCTAATCATACACATTAGCACAATCGTTTTCAGATTAGTATTTTGTATGCTATATTTCTCAATAAATACATAAAATAATAGAATTTTGAAAAAACCAATGCAATAACACGTTTGGTTAAGGATCAAGCTTTATAAACAGGATATATTTCTTATTGATGGTTTCAGAAGTGTACTAAAGTAAGTAAACTTTTTTATCAACTACAAATAAATACGAAACACAACCTTGTCTATATGATAAAATGGTCCTTATGAGATTTAATTAACAGAAAAACAAAAAATAAAACAGCACAGGTTGTTTTAATTTGAATACATTGACTCTTCAAGCAACAACTACTCTCTGTTATTTACAATATCAATTCTAGTACCTTTGCGTCCTTGGGACCACATCTCATTGGCTGCAAGATCTCTAGTTTGCAACTGACAAGTGTCAATGGAATTAAATTGTGAAGATTTTCGAGTCATGATAATGAAAGTGTTTATTATTACATGTGTTTTTCAATGGTGTTAGAAATGTTTCATGAAATTAAATTTTAATAGGTACCTGCAGGTGTTCTTGATTTACGTCTTTCTCTAATATGTCCTAATGCATCTATCAATACAAATTGGTGTGATCCAGTAAAGCAGACATTTGATTCAAATGCACCTGGTATAATTAATCATCAAACTTGTAAATTAAGACAACTATCACCCTCACTTATTCAAGCACATTTTCAATTAGAATTAAATCGATCACTTGAAAGAGAAAATACGTTTACTAATTATGTTCGTCAATGGTGGCGTGAATTAACACAATTGCGTGAAGGATTCTTTTCTGAACGTCTTATTAAAATATTTGCAGCTGATGAAAATGGACGTACACAGTTAGTTTGATTTTGAACGTGTTCTTATAATTATTAATTTATATTAAAGACCAACAGACTTGACAGGCTAATTTGAAATATTTAAGTGCTATACGAAATAAGATATTTTGCTTTTCAATTCTGTGAAATAAGTAGTTTAATGACAGATAAAACTGTTAAACGTTCACTTCAGTGTATACTGCAAGAAATAATGATTGTTTTAGTCTAAAAATACTATACTTACTTACTTACGCCCGTCACTCCTCGTGGAGGAGCATAGATCGCCCACCAGCACTCGCCTTCCAACCTTATCCTGGGCGATCCTTTCCAGTTGTTATTCATCCCTTTCATATCTTCTATTTCGCGACGTAATGTGTTCTTTGGCCTTCCTCTTTTCCGCTTCCCTACAGGATTCCAAGTTAGGGCTTAACTCGTGATGTAGTCTGGTGATTTTCTCAATGTATGTCCTATCCATTTCCTTCGTCTTTACCTGGAAGCTGGTTTGTATCCGACCAATGGATGTTCAGTATCTTGCGTAGACAACTATTTATGATTACTTGTACCTTCTTGATAGTGGTTGTTGTAGTTATCCAAGTTTCAGTTCCGTATAGTAGAACTGTGCTGACGTTCGTATTGAAGATTGTGACTTTGATGTTGGTTGACAGACAGTTGTTCCGAGTTCCATGTGTTCTTCGATTGAAGGTATGCGGCCCTTGCTTAGCCAATCCTCGCCTTTACGTCTGCATCTGATCTTCATTGTTCATCGATGATGCTTCCCAGGTATGTGAAGGATCCTACATCTTCCAGAGTTTCGCCATCAAGTGTAATTGGGTTGGTGTTCTCCGTTTTGAATTTGAGGACCTTGGTTTTCCCCTTGTGTATGTGGAGGCCTACTGATGCAGAGACTGCTGCTACACTAGCTGTCTTTATTTGCATTCGTTCATGTGTATGCGATAGGAGAGCTAGGTCATTTGCGAAGTCGAAATCGTCCAGTTGGTTCTGAGCTGTCTATTGTATTGTGCGTTTTCCCTCAGATGTAGAGGTCTTCATGATCCAGTCGACCACCAGAAGAAAACGACCACCTTGTCTGACTCTGGTCCTTACTTGGAATGTATCTGTCAGCTGTCCTTCGTGAACTACTTTGCACTGTAGTCCGTTGTGTGAGTTCCGGATGATGTTCACAATCTTCTCAGGAACTCCGTAGTGTCGAAGAATTTTCCATAATGTTCTCCTATCTTTACCGTCAAACGCCTTCTCATAGTCAATGAAATTGATGTATATTGACGAGTTCCATTCAATTGACTGTCGAACAATAATCCATAGTGTCGCGATTTGACCTCTGAACGATTGGTCCTTACGAAATCTAGCTTGTTGATCTCGAAGTTGGGCGTCTACTGCGTCTTTCATCCGGTTCATCAATACTCTGTTAAAGACTTTCCCTGGTACTGACAGTAGTGTGATGCCTTTGTAGTTTTAACATTTACTCAGATCTCCTTTCTTTGGAGTCTTGATGAGGTGTCCTTCTTTGCAGTCTGTCAGTGGCACTTGTTCCTCCTCCCAAATTTTCTTGAATAGAAGGTGAAGCATGTTTGCAGTTACTCTAATGTCTGACTTCAGTGCTTCATCTGGTATATTGTCAGGTCCTGCTGTTTACCCACCGTTGATTTGTTTGATGGTCATGCTGATTTGTTCTGCTGTTGGTAGATTGCCATCTATAGGAAGGTCTGTGTATGCTGCTTTGATGTTCGATAGATTCAATGGAGCTGACCTACTCAAGAAATCCTCAAAGTGTTTTACCCGCCTGTTCCTTTGTTCTTGAATTTCAGTAATTGGCCTTCCTTTTTTGTCCTTGACCGGTCTCTCTGGTTTACTATATCTACCTGCTAGTTTCTTCGTTGTATCATAAAGCTGTTTCATGCTTCCTTCTCTCGCAGCTAGCTGTTTCACGTATTTCTGATTGTCGTTTCTAATTCTCTTCTTCACTTGCTTGTTTGCTTATGTGTACTCAGCTTGTGCCTTAACTTTCTCTGTTCGTGTTCGGTTGTCGTTATTTGGTGTCTTCTTTTCCTTCCTTTCTTTGATCTTGTCCAGTGTTTCTATAGAGATCCATTCCTTATGATGATGCTTCTTGCGGGCCAAAACCTCTTGACACTTTGAAGTTAATGCTGCTTCGATACCTTTCCAGTTGTTCTCCATACTAGTTTCTTCTTCATCCAGTAGATCCTGTAAGGCTTGGAACCTGTTGTTGAGAGTTATCTTGATGTCGTTGAGTTTGTTAGTATCTTGAGGGAGGCTGTATTCAACCTTTTTAATGCTGTCCCTCCAGTTATTCAGTGTTTCTTTAGCTTCAGTTTCATCTCGGCCACCACCAGGTGATGATCTGAAGCTATGTCAGCTCCTCTCCTGGTTCTCACATCTTCCATTGTCCTTCAGAATTTTTTATTGATGCAAATATGATCTATCTGGTTATCTGTGGTGTGACTGGTGAGATCCATGTAGGTTTGTGTATACGTTTGTGTGGGGATATTGTGCTGCCTTTGACCAATTTGTTGAATGCACAGATTTGCAAATCTTTCCCCATTTTCGTTTCTCTCTCCCAGTAAATGTTGTCTCATGATATCCTTATATACGGTGTTGTCTATTCCAACTTTGGCATTTAGATCTCCCATCAGGATGGTGAAGTCCTTTCTTGAGCACTGCACTATGGTTGATTGCAGCCTCTCATGGAATTGGTCTATCTCGTCGTCGTTCCTATGATTGGTGGGTGTATAACATTGGATAACACTCATTGTGATTAGCTCCTTCTTTGTTTTGAATGTGTTATAGCTCAAAGCCGCCAATCAGAAGCAGCGAATTACCGATTGGACCAAGGACGCGTAAAGCATTTGCAAACAGCCTAGAGTTCTGATTGGTCCTGCTTTCCGCCTAGCCCAACCAGTTAAGTCTAGAACGCCAATCTCAGCCTCTGCAATATGAATCATGTATTTCAAACATACCCTGTTTATACACCAATCAAGCAGACCACATCGTACGGTAAAATATGAAGCAACATTTGTACAAAATTTGGCCAAATGTGGCTGTGAACGTGGGAGGTAGTGGTTAATAGACAGAGAATAATTCAAGAATGGAAAATCGTATAATAACAGTTCATAGGTTAAAATAAAGCTTATAATAAGAAAGACATGAATACGAATAGTCTAGTTATTCAACAATTATACGATAAAAATATACGTATAGTACTGGTTTACAAATAGATCCCAAAAAATTACCACTTATTATTCTTATCGGGACACAACAGAATGATGCTTTGATGATTCTGGATTTGTGAGATTCTCATCCTACAAGTGCATTTCGTGCTTCTTTGGATAGTATAAGAGCAACTTCCTGGGTGTGTGGGACATTTTCCTCTTCGTGACCAGAGTATAGCAACATCTCTCCCGTATCTAGCCTTTGCTGTCCAGCTTGGGTCCAATGGGCATCGGCCTCGTGGCTTCCGAAGGAACTCGGCTTACACCATGAGGCGTCATATTTCTTCTAAATGAAGACCTTCTAACTCCCAGGGTAGAGTTTAAATGGTTTGAATTATTTTTTCTGGTTTGCGTTTTGTAGCCAGTTAGTTTTCTACGGGATGGGGTTGCTAACCTCATGCCCAACCCTCGTCATTTATCCGGGCTTAGGACCGGCAGTAACTCTAGAAGAGCTACAGGCGAAGTTAAAAATACTATTTTACTAGTATATTTCAATGATCTTCGTCCTATATAGCTGTTACGATGACTACTGCAGTTATTTAAAACATAAATGCGTCAATATTTTATATCGAACTTAAACTAATCAGTTTAAAAAGTCATTGGTATATTTCAATGTACATGTTGTTAAGCGAAGAGTTGATTAAAATAAAGATTCTAATCTTAACGAGCTTTTACTTTCGGCCAGATTATTTGGTCTAGAAAACGTGATACATTTACGCCAGCCTTGAGTAAAAGTATAATGAGCATCCTTTTGACATTATTTTAATGTTATATGATAAAAAGTCTACTCTTTTTTATGTGATGCCATAGGTATATTTTATATGGGAAATTATTTTCACAAATTTCATTTCATTTCGTCAGATTTGTGTGTAACTTCGTAAATCCACTCAGTGCAAGTCATATTCTTGAAACCCCATATATAGCCGCACGCTTCGTTTCAAGTATACCCTATGAACCGTTTTACGGCGTCGGGGTTGGGATAAAAGAACGTTGGTGTTCTGGTAAGTGTAACTGAACACCACTTTCCTACTCAACTTTTATTTTTTCATTCCTGTCAATACCACTAGAGTTTTCCTCACAGGATTGTCAGTTTGAAACCTTTTCCATTTATTTCGTTTTGGACGCGTAAATAGCATTATTTATTCTTGCATAAAAAGTATCATTCGAAGCAAACGTTTACTTGCTTACTAAGTTAGACCAAATTACAACTTAATTAAATTGATGTATATTTGAGTAGTGAAAAGGAAGTGGACAGAAGGATTTTAAAAGATGGTCATATGAAAATTGTTATTCAAAATCAGTTCTAACTCTCAATCATTTAAATTCTCCTGGAAATATATTACTGGTTAAAGACTTTTAATCTGCCTGTTGTTCATATCACTTTGTGTGAGTATATGAAATACTTGAATAGACTTCTCAGTATTGTCTGTATTTACAAATCCTACTTGGGTCAATGTATGTACAGAATCCTACTGTTGCTCATCGTTCAAACCATAGTCATCATATAACGGTCTAAAAACTGTAACAGTGAATAATTTCATAGAGACAATAAAGCTTATGCTCTTTATTATTAAATATTTTTGCCCTAGAGGAAAAGTTAAGATGGTGTGCTGAAAAATATCCATTTCAATTTTTTATTAAGCAGTTATTCATCCCTTCATATTACAGAACATAAAAGACCTGATGGATTTAGTCACTTGTGTAGTGGTCATGTTCTCTAAAGCATGTTCATTCATGTTTCGGTTATCGTTCCCAACAGTGAATTAGGAGTTTGACAGCCTCTACCATTTTAATATTTTGTTGAACAGATTAAACTTTTTGACGTTTATTCCTGCAGTTTTACTCGAACTTACAATATAAACATCTATGTTTATTTAAAACTTATTTTAGTGATTATATATTCCATTTTTCTAGGACTGGCTTTTGTTTCTTCAAACTCTGGAGATGTAGCAGATCATGCAAACCTTTTATGCTCTCTACTATTGGGTTATGGAGTTGAAGCATACGTTGCTTTAGGCACAAGTCAATTCAATATGAATAAGCAGCAAATGACTACTTCCTCACATTTATATGCATGGGTCGTTGTTTGTTCTGTAAGTGTTTACTAAGTAGTAGAAAAATTCAGACGTATATCAGAGGAATAATATATTTAGATTCAGATAGTGGCAAGTAGTGGAGTCCAGGGAGTAGATTTTGTTTCTTGAATGCAAATGAAAAAAAGGATAGTCTCTAATTTGACTACTGCTCAGTAGTATTTTGTCATACCTCTAAACTTTCAAACAGCTGTCGATGGATATACACAGAAAAACTTGTGTGGCATTCTTTCAGTCCTTCTTACGTCTCCTCCATTACGTACTATTTGTTAAAGAATGTAAATTTAGAAGCTATGTATTCCATGTCTTATTATTTTATTCATCCATAATCCGATGAAGTCCCTGAGTACAGTATTTAGATAATTCATTATGAATTTTCGTTTCAGGATTAGAATAGTCATTTATAACACAGTTTATTGCTTGAATTTACCCATTTGTTGCCATTTTATCGTTGTCATGAGTGTTAATATAATTAAAACATATTAAGATGCTCGAAAATCTTTTGATTATTCGACGCTCTGGTTCACATTGTCATGAATAACAGTGAAATGTCGCAAAATACCTTCTAGGAGCATCTGTCAAGTTGTCAATACATAAAAAGTACCTGATAAATGACATTTAACTGTAACTAATTAAGAACATGGCATCATTCCGGTTTGTTTGATGACGCCTCATGACTTCAACTTTAAATTCTAGGACGATTATCAACGAATCACATTTTGGGATAGTATAACTGGTCGTTGTTATATTCATACAACTGGTGGTTGCGAACAAAAAATCTATCCTTCTCCATTCTATACCATTGGATGTTTATACAATAACAGTTCATTTTATGCCAATATTCAACCAACTGATAAAGTAGTAAACTGTCTTTTTAATTTAAAGGTGGGTATTTAAATATTTTTACTTTGATTTTAATTCAAAAGTATTGGAAAACATATCTATGATATTTGTACCAGTAACAATTTTTTAACACGTTACAACTTGCTAAATTATGAAACAGTTAACTTGAACATTTCCAAATTTCTTAAAATTTCCTTTGTCATTTTTGAAGTTTCTAACTTAGATGAATGATTAGTTAACTTGTTGTTACTTGAGGTAGGTTGTCTGATAAAAACATCTCACTTCTAAGTTGTAAATGGCTCCATATGTCAATGAAGTTATTAAATTACTTGGAGACTAACTTAATGCTTATTACAAAGTCCCCTAGAAATGGATGGCTTTTTCAACGTATAATCACACCAATTACAAAAAGATGATCAGCTTTACACCTATTTGAAGTTAGTTCTTCAAAGGCTTCTTATCTTAAAAGTGATAGATAATCATTCAGTGATATTTTAGATTTAGAAATCACTAAACTGTCAACAGAATACCATGGTAAAAGCTAGAAAAACAGTCAGCTCAGAGATAGATAATCTTATGTTAATAAAACAAATAAGAAATATCGAACATAGTATATTCTGAAAATAATAATTTCAGAATTCATGCCAGTTTACAGGCATGATTAATTTGATATAAATAGTAACATTAGATGTGGAGAACGAACATGTGATATAAGATAGTTTTAAGTATACTACTTCAGTAATTGTTTAGGTAGCAGATGTATTACAGCGATCCAGTGCATCAGCCAGGAACTTTTAATTTTTATTAAGTGGACAGCCTGTTGATTTATGAACGGTGATAATTATCTACAACTAGAGAGAGTAAAACAAAAACAGAGAGCACGGAACAACAAATCAATAATTACCAAAATGTGTCAATCAGGTCTGCCAAAATACATGTGTCATGTGACACAGTGATATACTATTGATGTTAGATATTATTCAAATTAGTTAAGGTTGCTAGGGACAATGTTAACGTAAAGTGACAACAGGCAGGTGGTTTTACTTAGGGATTTCACTAATAATAATAGCTAAACATTTACAGTTCCTATAATATCACCTGTGGAATAAGATGCACTTAAAGGTGCTAGAACATTCAATGCATTTTCAGAGGAGCAGTATGCATCAATGCATTAATAAAACAAACAAGAAATAAGCTGTAAATGATAACAACTGGTGGTGGAAAAAAATTATAAAGGTGTCCATTGTTTTTGTTATAACAATTACGCAGTTTTTTCTTACAAAACACCTTGCTCTTAGTGTAATAGCATCAATCATGTTGTTATATTAAAGCAAAGCCGAAAGACATTCATTACAAGCTGATGCAAAGGAATATATTGATATAATTTAAAATTATGAATGAACACACTAAAAATGATAAATATATCAGTATATGAAGAAGAACATTCTAAAACTATCGAAATTCGAAAGCTTTGGTTAATAATCTAACACATCTGGCATTTGAACGTTTGACATGGAATTGTTAACTCCTTCTTGTCCTTAGTCTTGAGCCCTGAACGGAAGAAAAAAGGCAAGAAATGTCGAAAAGATATGTGTTTCTATTTTATGATGTTAACAACTACCTCTCTGGCTTTTTTATATGACTGATTAAACACAGGAATTTCCAATTTAATAAAATGAAGCAACATTCAGACTAGTAGTCACCAGCACTTTTTATTATTCTGATTTTTAACTCTTCTGCTTGTACAATTCTAATACGGGATATGCGCGAAGTGGAATTTCTAGACCTTATATAAATACACAACCCATGGCTTGTTTTTTTCTGGCTGATTAATTGTGATTTTCGACTGGTTAATGAGACCCCAATCATTAAAAAATTAATAGGGATCTTACAATTAAAACAATAAGAAAATAATAATAAGATGTGTGATAGGCACTTATAGAATATACTTAAATCGATTCTATATTTTCCTTTATCTTATCCCTTCCATACTGTTAACTATTCAGTCACTGAACAGTGAATATTTCATATTCTCTCTAACCTTAGTTTCAAAAAGACACTTTATTTAGTACTTTCTTTAATTGAATCTTAATCTTTTTTCTCATTTTTTTCATAACTAGAATTCATCTCAATGGCGTCCTATGTCATTTGAAGTCATTCAAACAGTACATAATTACTCAAGTTTATACCTTAGAAAATTGAATCCTCCCATTCAATCTATAGATGAGATTACTGTACAATGTCATGAATCCTTACGTCGTTTAGCTGATAGTTGGCGTATGGAAAAATTAAGATGTAATAATCATATTACATGGAAATGGGATAATAAACTAGAACAATTATTATTACCTTTGATTGCTAAATATGAAGCAGATCAAAAAAATTTATCAAATTATAATGATAATGATAACGTTGTACAAGTACATGAGGTATTAGAGAATGATTTGATTATGTCACCAATTCATCGTCATATACCTAAAGATTTTACATTCAAATCTTATCCAGTCCAGGTAAACTCTAACAGAACATTTGTAAAGATTGATATTTGAATTATTCTTTAATTACCAAAAGTTCTTATTTGAGTCATCATTACATTGCGACTGAGTTTGAGGCGAACGGTACTGAGCTTGAGTCCCATAATGAACATCAACTCTGACGAGTCTCAAATAAGACGAAATGCACGTCTTGGATTCCACTGATGGCCACCACCCATCTCTGTTCATTATTATTTGATTTCATTAACTAACAACTGGTGCTTACTACTTCGAGTTATCATAAATATTAGATGTCAACGTTCTCTGAACGTATGTGAAGGTGAATTTGATTAAGGTAATCTTGACTAAGTATGATGATTCTAAATCATCCTGGATATAATAAATTTAAGGAACTAATTATGGATAAAGTAATCAGTTGACGATCCTGTTTCTTACACTTTATCGAATAATGTTTAGTCACTTAAATTTCTCCTGGTTAAATATTTAATAGGAAAGTATTCATTACATTATATTTAAAACAGTCTTTCTTGGAATCTGTATTCACTTTAAATTGTTAACGTTTTAAAAGATTTAAGTTTGAAAAGCTGTGATATCATCGGGACATTTCATAAACACTTGTCTTTTCGATCAGTTTGTTCAATTTATTTGAAAAACCTAGAACATGTGTAACAAATTAAGATTTAAATTATTCTCAACTGTGGGATTATATGCTTCCTTAAACCTTTTATAAGTCCTGGGTTCAAATCTCGCGGGGGGCGGGATCGTGGATGCGCATTGCTGAGGAGTTCCATACTAGAACGAAACGGCTGTCCAGTGCTTCCAGGCTTTCCATGGTGGCCTAGCTTCAATTGACTCATGATTTCAACTAGTGAAATTTCTAAAAATCTCCACAAAACCCCTTTTGATTTTATTATTTAGACAGAACTGTTAAGTGAATTTAAAGAATAGGGGATCGAAAAAAATCAATTAGCATTGTATTTAAAATTATTAAGCTTAAGGGTTTTCATTAATTGAAAATTTGTTTTGATTATACTTGAGTGTTAGTTTAAACAAAGTTGAGGATTAAAGGTTACTGAATAAACATATGGGCTTTGTTGTCTATGTGTCAATCTTTTAAATTACTAAATAAATTACTGAAGGTTGATGTATTCAATCTTAATCCACTTTTAATGTAAACTTTATGTTTTCTGAGATTATGATTTCTCTTTATCATAATAATGCTTGTCAATTGATATGAAAACACTATGTTATTACTTCATATAGTAGTACTGTTTAGAATTGAATTTTCCATACTAATTCTATTTCAGCTAACATTGTTCATTAAGAATGATGTTAATTGAATATAGGTAACTTAAAATCTTCATAGTAATATATAAAAATTGATATTAATTAAAATTAGTTAACCTATTTGTAGCTTTCGTGTGAATGGTTAGTTAGGTAGGCATGTTGATTAAAGAATTTTGTTAATTAAAGTGAAGATTAACTAATGTCTAATCTTTCAGTCATGTCAGACAAATTCTTCAGCGACTTTTTGGAGGAAGTATATCGAAATCGTCTTAGCAAAACAACCTGAAATTAGAAATGAGTGATTTATATGCCTGAAGTGAAGAGACCCCAATATACTTATAAATAATCCAGTTTAAAAGGATACCAAAATAATTCTCACTAGTCCATACAACAGTTAGATGCTGTTTTCAGCTAAAAGTATCTGTGAGAAGAGTTGCAAAACTTTAGACATGAAATGGCCTCAATGTAAATAAATTATTCTAAACTTGAAAATAAGGAAGTTTGTTTATGAACGGTACTGGGTTTAAGTCCCAAAGTGAACATCAGATCTGGGACGCAGAACAGTCGAGCTATTTATAAGCCAGGGAATTATAAAATTAATTTGTACTTGTAAACTGTAAATTTCATCTTTTAATGAGCGTTGTTTAATACCTTGGGTATGATGACACGATTTCTGTTAAAAATAATTTTTACATTGGGAAACATCACTATGTAAATCTGGTCACAATACATTATGAAGTGTTGCAATATCACGAAATCGATATAGACTGGTTTTCTTGGTAATTTATTGACTAAAATAATTCTGAGAAAATCTAGAACGACTTATTATTATTTGGATCAAATAATTTTCACGGTACAAGCCAGAAGATAAGATGGTAGTTGGAAGTAGTCAACAGGAAGTCCTGGACTCGGGTTTTGTGCTACTTGGCACTCGTCAGCAAGGTGTACCTGTAATCTTTAGGGAACTGGCGCTTCCTGACGGATTCGATCCCGTGTCACCCAGCTTCACAGTCAGAGACGTTACCACTAAGCTATCCGGGCCGCAACCAACCTCCTGTAGGACTGAGATGTAAGCACAATTGATTGATCACTGGGTGGTGATCAATGTCATGTGTGTCAAGTCATTCCTAGTGCAGATCGAATGCTATCGACCAGAAGATAAAAATGAAGCGTTATCACAACTGTGAAACAGATACAATCTTTGGATAGTTAATTTGGTTTCTCTTTTATCCGATTTGATTATATTTTGCAATATCGCATTTTATTTGTTGTCAATATACTTATTTTTATTTTCTCCTACATTTGTTTCTCAGCTATTCCATTGTAATCCTCAAAGAATATTACGAAGTTGTTTACGTTCTCAATTATGTCGGGATATACTAAGCTGTCGTGGTGATCATGTTCAACTTGCCTTAGGTTTACGCATTATTACATATGCTGAAAATGCAATGATTACATGGGTTATATTTGCATGTTCATATAAATCTGTAATATAAATTCAATCATAACCCTTTTTCAAGAGATGATGAATTATTTGCTTGAAGTAACCAATTTCTGAAAAGATATTTTGGTTCATTTAAGACTTAATAATTTATAGATATCTTTATCTTCGTATTTACAAAGAGTACTCATGGTAAACCCTTTAGTTCGTTTTAAAAAACGCCCTTGTTCATAATGCACATGTGATTGTTAATGGATTGATAATTCTTTATATTTATAATGTTTTTTTACACTTGAACTCCCGTGGTTATACTAATTTTTCTTCCAGTTGTTCATATCCGTTTAACTTGAGACTTTCTGAGGGGAATGAAAAATCAGTGTTTGAATTTTTATAAATTGGTTTGTTTTTAAAAATTGAGAACTCACCAATTGTAATTTGTAATGATTTGGATTATTCCGTTGTTGATATTTTGACTGAAATCTGATCAGTCTTGGTTGACATGTAGATCGCCTTGATATAGCCATTATGATATAAACTTATTTACAGTATACAAATTGTGGCTTCGAGTCCCAGAGTGAACTTTAACTCTAAGATGTCGGTAAATCCAGTTATTTATTTGCATATCCTGAATTTCACTACTAGCCACATTCCATCTACCCTGTGTAATTCATGGTTCATTAGTTTAGAAAAGTACTTTTTTATAAAAATTAAATTCAGAAGTTTAAAGTGTATCTTACGTCCACAGAATCTTTACAGAACAAACTACTTATATGGGGAATCCATAATCTTTAAATAAAATATTAAATGACCACTGTCACGTTTGTGTAGATGTTGGTAACGACTGAATTTGGCAAGTCACATTTCACTGTAGATACTGGTGATTAAATCCAATCCGTTGGTCTAGATTTTGTTCTGCTTTGTGTTCATCATTGAGATATATCTTTAATCTTGAAGGAATCAATTATCTGCTTGGGACTCCAATCGTTCTCAAAACCAAACATGTTACTACTAAGAAATTATTTTCTCGACTTACATACTACATGACTAAGATATTTATGTTAATCGACAAATTATTAGTAACCAATGTCATATTTTGTATCGATTTATACTGAACAATCAGTAAATATTGTGTATGAATGAGTGGTGAATAGCTCCGAACCAAATTCAGGATATACTACCTACCATTACTAACTACCTGGCAAAACGTGACTTATTTTATGAAATATTATTATGTATAAATGCAAATGTTTATTTATCCTCTTTTAAATCTTATTTTCTAATGCAGAGTTTGCTTTCTTTTTAATTTAACATACATTTTGCATAGAAACGTCAAAAATAAATTTGTTACTTAAATGAATTTATTTCTATTATTTTAACCGAAGGTATAGGCAGAATAAACTAAGCATTCAATAATGATATTATGGATTATTTATTGGTAGTCGACAAATAGAGTCCTTTGAACACTGTTTTAATGTATATTTGTTCAAATCATATTGTCTCTGACTACGCTAATAGTTGATAAAGACTTTCATTAGTGTGACTGCTAGATGAAGTGTAGTATGAAGATTTACTTATAAATTTTTCACTTTAGATATCATTATCATCAGTACTTTAGATATCTGGATAGAATAGGGAGCTATTTGTAAGGTTACATTTAACCATTATTCATGGTATAGATGTTAGGTTTCATAAAACCTAAAAGATTTAACCATATGTTTGTTTTTAAAGTTCTTATCTGTTACAGATTCTACTTTATGAATAGAGAAAATAGTTACTTACTTAATTACGCTTGTTACCCTACATGGAGGAGCATAGGCTTCCCACCATCATTGTTCATCCAACTCTGTTTTGAACAGTCCTTTTCCAGTTTGCTCTAGTTGCTATTTATCCTTTCAATGTCTGCTTTCAATTCTCAACGCAGTATGTTCTACAGCGTTCCTCTTTTCCGTTTCTCCTTAGGATTTCAAGTTAGAGCTTGCCTCGTGATACAGTTTGATGATTTACAAAATGTATTTCCTATCCACTTCCAACTTCTTTTCCTAATTTCCTCTTCAGCTGGAAGCTGATATGTTCACTAACACAGTAGACTGTTGCTGATGGTATACAGTCAAAGGACATTGAATATCTTGAGTAGACAATTGTTTATAATTGCTTGCAAATGTTTGATGATAGTTGTGGTAGTTCTCTAATTTCAGCTCCGTACAATAGAACTGTCTTGACGTTAGTATTGATAATTTTTACTTTGATATTGATTGACAGATGTTCTGAATAGAGAAAATAAGTTTCATATTTTGTTATTAGTGAAATATGCACCTATAAACTGGGAATAAGATGTGATATAAGGAAAGGAATAATAATTTTCATTAATAAAAATATAATGGATTGTATGGAGTTTACATGATAAACTTCTTTGTCCGTCCACTGGCCCTGTTTGCCCAAGTATGAATCGGTGTATTCACATATGACCTAACACCGAGCAAAACATCATTAGGATTCTATACAGCTGGCAATAAACATTTTTTGTACTTGCTTACTAGTAGAATTAGTGTTTTGTTTTTCAAAATGTTTACGCTTTGAAACAACTCAACTTGGCAAATGAACATGATTTCTTTGGAAATGAATGTTAACATATTATCAGAACAGGGTTTACAACAAATTATATCATCTGGAAGTGCTGAGCGAATTAATCTATTGATGGAAGAAACGAATGCCAAACAATAACTCTGCTTCATTCTTATGTTGCTGATGTTCAGTAAACTGGAAAATCATCAGAAGACAACTGAAATGTTGCAAAATACAATTCTTTACATGCGTTTTCTCAATCAAAATAAAATGTTAGTTTGGATAGTAGCTAGTAATAGAATCCAAGACGCATATTTTGACATCTGAATGTGTTTACATATCAATGTTGATTTTTCTATCGAGATTTGAACTCAGTACCTATTACTTAAGATACCATTAAGTTATCCACTAGGCAACTGAACCTCAGCAACTACCAAATGATACATTCAACTAATGGTTTAAAACTAGGATGCCTCTTTGATTTCATTATTAGTCATTATTAAGAAAAATAATTATACTCTGGAAATAAACGATTTTGAAGTCTATGTGAATAAATTAAAATCTGAACTAAAAACAAATTTCATTACACTACTTATTTATTAACTTTTATATCATAGAATAATAAAGTAAGTTTGTAAAGTTTCAACGATTATTCAATCAATCAATATTTTCACATTCAAACTAATAATAATCAATAATTTTTAAATACAAAAAATTAAATAATACTATTGGTAATTTAATCTTTTAAAAAAATCTATTAAATATATTTAAAAATAAATAAACATTAAATTTTTTAATGTTTGAGATCATGAATCAATTGAAGTTCAGCCACCACCATGAAAAACCTGGAATCACTGGACGTCGATACTTTACTGTTGAGGAATTCCATAATAGAATAAAATGGCCATCTAGTGTTTCCATGTTTTTTCCATGGTGATTTAACTTCAATTGATTCATGATCTAAATTATTAAAATTTTTATCAACTATTATGAATATAACTTTTATTATACATATTTCTTATCAATTAAATTAATTCATTCAATATAATTTATATTTTATTAAAATTCAATGAATATGAATTTATGTAATTGTAAATAAAATTACTATTTTAGTAAGAAATGTTATTCAGTTTACAGATAGATATATATATACTTTAATTGATATGAATAAATTGTACAATATATCTAGAATAGTTGGAAGACCTGAAAACATTTATTTGAATTATCTAATGGTGAATTATTGAAAAATGACCTTAATTAGACTGATTAATGTTGAATTTAATAGTTAATAATAACTTATCAGTTATTTATTGTATTTAACCATTAAATTTTATTATGATTATGCTTTATAGTAATATAATTTTGATAAATAGAAAATTTTCTGAATGCTTTCACACAAGAAAATGTTATATGTATATATGTATAGACACTAACATCATGGGATGATAGCTCAGTGGTCCAGTAGGTTAAGCGTTCGCGCGCAAGCCTGAAGACCCCGAGTTCGAATCCCGCTAGCGGGATCGTGGATGCTCACTTCTGAGGAGTCCCACAATAGGACGAAATGGTCGTCCAGTGGTTCCAGGTTTCCAATGGTGATCTAATATCTAATATATATATATATATATATATATATATATATTGCTCTTTTGGATTTTTTTTCATATTCAAGTTTATTCCAACTATGATGAGATAAGTTTACAACATAAGATCGCTTTTTTTAACGAATAAGTATTAAGTAGAAGACTAATGGATAGCTATTTTTTGCCTCGTTTGGGATTCGTCAAGAGATCTCTAGAAGACCTCTAGATATCATGATGAGATAGTGTTCTTTAAACAACTTGATTTTAATTAGATTATTCAAATTTCCACCTTCAATCGGTTCGTTGAATACTGAAAGAATTATAGATACAATCGGTGGTAAATGTGAATTGATATATTATAGATATACATATTGTGTTATTTATCGATAAGTATTTTTAAATTTATCTAAACATATATCTGCAAGTAAACGAGTCAAGAATAACTGACCAATAGGGAATATTTGGCTGACATGAAATATATGCCTCTTAAAATTGGGAACTACAGGCGGATACCTTGCCTTATACAATATACAGAATATTAATTTTTTTGTAGAAGAAAACACTTGATTAGCTAATGAAAGGTTGAGTTGCTCACAAATATAGTTACCTATCATTATTGAGGACAAGTTAGCTGACTGATGATGAAAATTTGTTTAACATGTGGTCTGTAATTTTATGTATATCTTATTTTAAGCTTAACGTTTGCTTGATATCATATTTATTTCAGATACGTGGGGCATTCTTATACATGTGCCATAGTATTACATGTTGAATCACTTGAAAAGAAAAATATTGTCACATCCTGATCGTATTTCTCATTATATTAATGTCATATGCATCCTGATGATATGAAGTTGTCAATATTTTAATGGTTAATTCGAATAAATAGTTTATGCGCATAATTTAAACGCATCTATTACAAAATCATATTAAAGCTCGGCTATTAATGGTTGATATTCATACATCCAAAGTGGTTGTTTTTTCTTAACCAGTAATTTCAAAAGTAGTTATATTCCATTTACCGGTTAATTGAGACAAGCTTCGAATTTCATATTTTTCAATACAAATAAACGAATATCTCAGATAAAATGAGTATATACAAAATCAGAACAAGACAAATTCATTGATTCCACTGAGTTTGTATATATTCGTCTTCTTGGTGATTTTGTATAGTTTCAGGATAACTTTGTTCTCAAACTGAAAAAGCTCCATAAAACGCCGAATCTAATAATAATCCTGTGATTACTACTGACTATCTTTGACACGAATATCCATGTAATTCTGTTAGCAAGCTATGAATTTACTTGTCACCTAAGTTGAGGGTAGAACAAACGGTTATCGATAAAATTAGATAAGGATCACGCTGTTGGAAGTCAACTTGAAACTACGGATAAATCGATTTTAAACTAATGGTCTGAAAGTACAGTGTTTCCCTTAAGCCCTTGAAGCCATCGGTTTGGTAGTGTGTTATTTCATCAGTACTCACTCCTGATGCAATTCAATGACTGACAAAAGATATATCTAAAATTACTTTTAGTTAACAACTCCCCAGCTTATAACTTTTCTTTATCAAAACTCTAAGTTGATAAGTACTTATGTATTTATTCACTAAAAATTTGGTTCATAGATTAACACGATATGATGACTAAAAAATTTCAAGGGACACTAGATTGTACATTCCTCTTCCTAAGAACATTCTATTTAATATTGAAATCATTTTATATTCATCTTTAGCTTTCATTAGCTTTATAGCTTATATTATTGCGTATGCATAAGTATTGCCAAACGTTATTGTTTAAGGGTTTCCAGTTTTCCTATAACGAATATTCAGCACCGATAATGATCAGTCGCTTTTAGCATATACGTATCCTTACTGGACTGTCTTGGTATTCCCTTTTAGTTACAGATTTTTATTATATTTATGTTGTGATTATTATTGGAACAGCTTCTTACCCGTTAAATGAGTCACTGGATGTCTGCAATCTGTGACTAAGAGGATAAAGCCTTGGTGTTTAAATAGTTCAGTACTGCGTTCAGGTCTTAATGTATTTGTCAACATTGAAATCTTGATACGTCTATCTGAAAAGTTCAATTTAGGACGATACGAGCGTCCTAAAATCCAAATTAACTAAGAATTATTATTCATTGCTGTATTACACCTAACGTAACACTTCATATGGATTTTTTTCACTCACTTATCATTATTACCGTTA